TGTCTGACCTGTCAGCCAATCAGAACACCTGGTGGGCTTTGTTGTGTATCAAGAAAATGATCTGAAACCCTGGTGCCCGGAAAAACACCCTAGCAAAAAACTAATACCCTGTCTGACCTGTCAGCCAATCAGAACACCTGGTGGGCTTTGTTGTGTATCAAGAAAATTATCTGAAAGAAAAGTACCACCTATGTGGGATATTTATTCTGCTACAGGGTTTTCACCCCACCAGTACATGCTAAAAAGTTATCAGCACACTACCAATGGACCTAGCTCAGTTGGTACACCCATGAATTGCTGAAATATGAATCAGACCCAAGTTTGAATCCAGATACCACCAGATGACCAGAATAAAATCGTTGTGAATTACGCAGGGGCCGTTCAGTTCAACGATGATATCTCAAGGCCATCGCCCTTTCCTTTTTTTTTTTTTTTTGTAAGCTATCAACTTATCACCCTTAAAAAAAAAAATGTTGCCTGGTTACATGTTTCCCTTGTGCATGCTTATTTGCCGAGCACCTAGCATAACCCGGGTTTTCCTCTGATGACAGGTATGTTGAAGTCAACATGAACAGTGCCCTCTTAGTCTGGCCGTTGTTTAACAGCCTCCAAGCATTCTGGCCTGGTCTCCAGGTAAGCAGATCTGTAAACTACCACTTGGCCTTCTGCTTTCATTCTTCTGGTTCTCTCTCCTACCCTGGCCTAGCCTCCCATTTCCTTGTTCGAGTGCATTTCAAGAAACTGCTCTGGAACAGTGCTTTCTCTCTCTCTCTCTCTCTCTCTCTCTCTCTCTCTCTCTCTCTTTTTCTCTGTGTGTGTGTGTGTGTCTCTCCCTATCTGTCTATCTATCTCACGAACACATAGACACACATTCAAAACGTTTTCATGTTTCTAACTCTGTCCCTCTGATGTCAGTTCGTTCTTTTTCCACCGAGCAAGGCGATGACAGTTGGCACCTTTTTGGGAAGATGTCGATGTATGAGGAATGTGCTGAATGTTGGCTCACACACTTTTGGAACCTTTTATGTTCGTTGTTCTTTTTCTTTTTTATTCTTTTTTTTTTTTTTTTTGGGATGCTCCTTATTATCTGCCTCCCAGGTCAGTATGTTATTTTTCACCAAGCACGCGCATGACAACTGGCGCCTCTTTTGGAAAATGTTGATGTGCAAGCGAAATACTGAATGTTGACGCAAATTGTATTTTGCTACTCTGTGGAGTCTGTGCAACCCCCATATATCAATCAGCAGTCCCGTTCTGATAGATGGAGCTTTCTGCTTGTTTTGGTTTAGTAGCATAATGAAAACTCCTCTGGTACTGCTAAAGTAGTTGATGATTTCTACTCTGTCGCGGTTTGTAACTTGAACCTTTTGTCCAGGTACTCGTTGGAGACCTCGAGCCTGCAGTGAGGACACATAAGGCATTCTACGGAGTCTGGCGCAAGTTCGGATTTACACCCGAAGGCTACAATCTTGGGAGAGGTGCTGTGCAGGTATATAGCATAGACACTACCATTCTTTTTTTTTTTTTTTTTTTTTTTTTTTTTTCCTTTTTTTTTTAACCACTAGTACCTTTCCCGCGTGGGAAAATAGGGAAGACTGGCAGTTTTCCCAAGCGCCTGAATTTTCGGAGGTCGGGCCCGACGACGAGTGCCATTAATAAATCTGATCGGCGGCCGTCGTTTCGTTTCGGCCGCTGCAAAGGTCGGATGCCTACCCGAGGCCCACTATTTTCCAAGCGGCAAAGGTACTAGTGGTTTAATCAGTAGTACCTTTGCCGTGTGGGAAAATAGCGGGCCTCGGGTGGGCCTCACAGCTTTTCGGAGGCCAAAACGAAACGACGACCGCCAATCAGATTTATCAATGGGAGCCGTCGTCGGGCCTGGCCACTGAATTTTTAGGAGTTTGGGAAAATTGCCACTTTTCCCTATTTTCCCAACACTGGCGGAGGTACTAGTGGTTTGAACTGCCAGTACACGGCCCCAGCCTTGCTGAAAAGAAAACTCGTCGCCTACAAAAATTTCGGAGGCCCAGCGCCGTAGATAAATTGAATCGGCGGTGGGTGGCCTCCGAAAAGGGCCCGCGGCCGATAGCTGGGTGTACTGGTGGTTTAACAGAGAACGCCCCTTTTATTGTGGTGTTATGATCCTGGCCAGTTTCGAAATACACATTCATCAGATAATGCAATGCTGTCCAATTGCAGAAAGAAATGAATGAACTTGAGAGGAGAGAGAAGGCTAGAAGAATGATTAAGAAAGAAGAAGAAGATGATGTACAACAGCATAGACAAATGATATAAGCTGTTCTTCTTCGCTCAACTCTCTCTTCCTCCTTATCTCCTCCTCTCTTATTCACACAAGAATTAATAATACAATGTTGAATAGCTGAACCAGAATCAAAGTCCGAATCCCTCTTGTATTGCAGGTATCACTTGAGGTCCACCATAGCCATGGCCGCCTCTCCCACTCTTCACTCTCACAGGCCGAGGCTATGGCGGACTACTAGGCCTTGCCCATATGCCCAAAGGACAACCCAAAGCAGCTATGGCTGCTCTAGCTCAGGCCGCCATGCCTGACCCTGCCTCAAAGCTTCTTGGTGTAGCTCAACCCCAGCTGGAGCCTTCCTGTTGCAGCGCCCACCAAGGTGATGAAGATGGCTGCCACCATAGCCATGTAAGTACCTCTGGCGCTCCTCCCCCTTCCTGTCCTTCTTCCTCCTCCGAGTCCTTGCTTCTTCCCCAGCAGCGCTGCTTCAAGCTAGCGCTGCTCCAGCCAGCGCTTCAACCAGTGTGTCGTTAAACTTGCACACCGACAATGAGGATGGGCTCTTCGCCCAGCGGTACCTCCTCCCTTTCGGAGGGAAACATCATTGCAGACTCTGATATTGCCTGTACAGGCCCTAGACTCAGACTGGTTGGACTAGTACCCGCCTAGACCTAGCTGACAACTACTGGGCCTCTCAAAATGCCCCTTTTGTCTTCTCCTGCTCGGCCTCCCGTCTCAAAATGCCCCTTTTGTCTTCTCCTGCTCGGCCTCCCGTACCCGCACATCTACCTCTTCAGGGTGCGGTACCGGCCTACCTGCTACAATCCCTCAATGTCACGGCCACAGGTAAGTACCGGCCCTGAGGACCCAACGAACGAACAAGTGCCCTTACGGGCCACGCACACACTCAAGCCAACCAGCACTCAGACAGACATGCAGTCCAGCAAGCGTGCACACACACAGACTTAGTAGCAAGCGGGAAACTCAGCAAGGCATTCAGTCCATGAGCGAAACTCAGAAATTAGCCGTGTGTTTCAGTCCATGTTTGGTCGGGTCATCACACTGGGGGGTAGCAGTCCGGTTGCTTATCCCCTGAAAGCACAGTAGAAAGAAACATCACTAAGGAGTTTTTTTATCAGGGAAGCGAGAGGCCCTCCGGACTCTGGCTATTCGCAGCCGTGAGACTCATCACGGTACCCAGTTGCTGCAGTACGCACTGTGATGACCTAAAGGTTGTTGCCGCACTACTCACAAACAGCGACAGAAAAATAGCGAGTGCATCTTTGCACAGAAGGTGGCAGGATATGTCCAGCAGTTGGAATATTAATCCAAGATTCTTGCAGTCGTTATATCTGAAAATCCGCTTCCCTTTGTACTGTGACAAGGCCCTGAATCTCCAACTGGGTGCATACATGGGTCCAGATTAGATTCGGACCAGGGGGTGCCCTACAGTATTTGTACTGCTGTTTTGATTTTGCTTTAAATTTGATTATGAAGTTTGAAAATGACCTGCAGCGAAACTTTGTTCGTATGCTACGCTGCATAAGTTTCGCTCTTTGGGGTTTGTTTTGATATTTTTTTTTTTTTTCTTTTTCTAAGAACTAAGTTAATATTATTCTCTCAATTCACCTTTCACTACCTACCTACCACTTCTCGTATACAGGGGACCCGTGCAAGCACAACCACCTCGCAATGAAGGGATTGCATGGTGCCCTTTGCCAGGGTTGGAGAGGTGGTTAATGGAAGGACCAAAATTTGGGTTTTTTTCGCCGCATCACCACAACCAATGTCATCGAAAATTTTGCAAACAAACAAAGCAGGCTCATAATACAAACATCAGAAAAACAAACAGGCCAAAAAAGTTGCAAAAAGAAAACACTAGAAATAACTATCAATCATAGTTGCGGCGCACTGCCCCGGTGCGCAATGCGGTGCGGTGCGCCGTGCGGGATGCGCTCAGGGGCACCGCACGCGCATGTGCGCGCGCGCGCGCACTGGGCGCACCATGCGCACAGCGCACTGAGATGCGGTGGTGCACAGGGCTGCGCACTGTGCGCGGTGCCTTTTTTTTTTTTTGTGTGTGTGAGAGAGAGAGAGAGAGAGAGAGAGAGAGGGATACGTGAGATTCAGGGCCTCACTCCACAACTCTCCACATGCACAAAAAAAAAAATAAAATGATGGTGTATCTTTTCCATGTTCGAGCAGAAGATTCATTCTCATTTTGCGCGTTTGGAGAGTGGTGCAGCCACGCCCTCATTCTCGTGTTGCACCCTCCACTACATGTGCTACCTGTTTCTCCCGAATACAACGTACGGTCATTCTAGCTGTATCTAGACTGAAAGATGCGTCAAATACAGCTATAATGACCGTACGTTGTATTCGGGGGAAGAAGGCAGGAAATCAAATGGACCGTTTCAAGTTTCAACGTACGGTCATTCTAGCTGTATCTAGACTGAAAGATGCGTCAAATACAGCTATAATGACCGTACGTTGTATTCGGGGGAAGAAGGCAGGAAATCAAATGGACCGTTTCAAGTTTCATCAACGGATTTCTGGGCACATGTAGTGGAGGGAGCCCAGCTCACCAAATGTGCAAAATGAGAATGAATCTTCGGTTAGGACATGGGTAGATACACAGCCATATTTTTTGTCTTTTGTGCATGTGGTGAGTAGTTGAGCGAGACCCTATAACGGGCATCGAGCATGGGCCTCGCCGGACTACGCACCACATACACAAAAGACACAAAATATGGCTGTGTATCTTCCCGTATTCTAGAGGAAGATTCATTCTCATTTTGCACATTTGGTGAGTGGGGCTCTCTCCACTACCCGTGCCAGGAAATCCGACGAGCGGTTTCAAGTTTCAGCAGATTTCGTGGCATGTGTAGTGGAGACACCCACTCACCAACGGTTTCAAGCTTCTGTCACTTTCTGACAGATTCTGCTCGGGTATAAAAGGTAAGTTTCTGGTTCTCTTTTTCTTTTTGCAAAAGCACTGAGTTCTTGTCGTTTTCAAAATATACACTGCCACGTTTTTGCCTCCTCCCGCTGCTGCGAGCCTCGGCCTCTCGCTGCCTCAAAAAAAAAACTGCGGGGCCCTGCGCGGCCTCAAAAAAAAAAAAAAAAATTTTCATAACCCGGCGGCGCGAAGTGCCTGCCGGCCTTGCAACCCCCCCCCACAACTTTCGTTTTTTTTTTTGTGACCTCCCGATTTCACAATGCGCCGCATGCCATGCGTGCCCGTCGTGCACACTGCGCAGTGCGGCGCACGTGCGCGTTACAGCGCATGGCAATGCGCCGCATTTATGCTATAAATTTACAAAACCCTACCCGGAGTAGCTTTTTCGGACATCGTGAAAATTTTCTCCGAATTCGGTGTTTTTGTTAACTCTTTTGTTGCTGGTCCAAATACGTCGAAACTGAATACAGATGTACCCTAAAGCACATACATATCGCACAGTAAAATAAAAGAATGAAAAAAAGTAAAAAATCAGGGAAATACGGCAGTTTGCCAGTTTCGGTGAAAAATTTGCCGGAAATGACTCCACCTATTAAGTTATTATTAAACTTATTAACCATTAGTGCGGGGCCGCCATTTGGGGCCCGGCTAACACAAAGAACAAGCATGTTGCCTGGATCTGCACCTCCCTTTTCATTTTCCGCCACTCCCATCAAGTAATGGCAGCAGTGACTAAGGCCAACGCTCTGCCATGCACCACACACAACCGACTATCTCAGCTGGTTTGGCACCGAGTGGCGAGCGTGCACCAGGCTGTCTGTTGGCACTGAAGTTACTGAACCCAAGATCTCCTGAATGCCACTTGCACGTCTAACTGACTGAGAAAGAGCAAAATGAAAAAACGAAATCTTAAGAACATAAACTTTTACTCTCATTCAGAGCCGCCGGAGGTCAGAATTTCGGACCCATGGACTGTGTTCATCCCCGGTTTAGCTGTGGTTGGTTCTGTTAGGGTATGTAGTATGTATAGGTGTCAACGAACCAATCAATCAACCAATTAACCAATCTGCAGGCTCAAATTGATACGAAGTATTACACTGATATACTGCAGCCTCAAATTGCTACGAAGTATTATGAACATATCTGCAGGCTAAACCTGACCGCTGATATACTGTGCTACCTGCTTTGAGAACCTGCCGGCCAGTGCAGCTATAACCTTGTTGCCCTGCCGGCCATTGCACCAGGCTGTTCGTTGGGTTTGAACCCAAGACCTCCTGTATGCCATTTGCCGGCCATTTCAGCTATAACCTTGTTGCCCTGCATGATCCAAGCCCAGTTGCTCTCATGTGAAACAAGCACTATAGCAAGCTCTCACTTGCCCAGCTGTAAATTCCACTGTGTGGCAGTGTGTTCACTATTGTGGTGATCATCTTTGCCTCAAGGGTGTGTGTGTGTGTGTTCTTGGCCTAGCCAGTGCACTTCTTGCAACTGGATGCTAGGTATTGGACTTCTGACTAATACATTTTATTGTTCGTCCTCACTGACGTCACCTTTTTCCCCCCTCGGGAATTCCACTTTGCCTCCTCCTTCCATGCCTCCCTTTTCTTTTCCTCTCCTTTCACTTCTTTTTCTTTCTCTACCCTTTCTCCTCCTCCCTCTCTGCTTCCTCCTGCTCCCTCCTGCTACCTCCTGCTGCCTCCTCCCTCGTTGTGCTTCTTCCTGCTTCCTACTCCCTCCTCCTCACTCCTTCCTCTCCTGCTAATTCTTCCCTCCTTCCATCCTGCCTCGTTTCTCCGTTCTCCTTTCTCCTCCTCCCTACTAGCTCCTTCCTGCTCCCTCGTGCTCCCTCCTTCCTCTGGCCGCTTCCTGCCTCATTTCCTGCTCCCTCCTGCCTGATTGTGCTTCCTCCTGTTCCCTCTTCCTTCCATCTCCCTCCTTGTTTGTCTGCCTCCCTTTGTTCTCCTTCTTCCTACTTCCTCCTGCCTCCTCATGCCTTGTGCTTCCTTGTGCTTCGTTGTGCTTCCTCGCATTTCCTCTTGCTTCCGTCTTGCTCCATGTTTGTCTGCTTTTTGTCATTAAGGATGACTCTGACATCTAACAAGGAGATCATATCTGCAGGTACATCACAGGCAATGTATGTCACAGTCTGATGACCACAAGCACAAGAGGAGTTGTTGAAATGAGAAAAAAAAAAAAAAAAAAAAACTTCAGGTTGCTATGATCAGGTGATGGATTTACCTGTTTTAGGTGGGAGTGCACCTTCTGCAGAACATGTCTTTTGGGCTTGCCGCACCAGTCGCCAAACGCCAATATTTGGAATGTATTGGGACTGCTTGGGGTCCAGATGAGCATGTTGGCGTGTTCGGCGAGTCGTGCGGTGAGCCCTTTTTTCGCTATTTGTTCCTTCTTTGATGCCTGTGAAGGTGCTTCTGTTCGAAGGATTTGTTGAAGTTGTTCTGGGTGCTAAAAGAGGCTGGCTTTTGGAAATTGTGTTTTTTTTCCAGCCGGGACAGCGAAGTTATCCCCTCAGACCGGAGCTGGCGGAGAGTACGTATTGGCTTTACAGAGCAACGAACGATCAACTGTGAGTTCTATTTCCATTTTCGCTCACACGTTTCCGGAACGGGTCTTCGCTAAGAAACCTCCTCTTTTTTTCTGCTATGAATAACCTTCCCTCGCTGAGTGTATGTACTGAGAACTTCTTTCCTTTTTTTTTTTTTTCTTACTGCCAAAACCTGTTCACGACTTCGCAATGAGAAGCAAAACCGCAGTATCGCTCAAGATCGAGCTTTTATCATATAGCTGTTAACTACGGCACAGTCGGCTCTGGACAACAAATGTTACCATTGCAGCACCAAAGTCTGTCAAAACGTTACTACAAATGTCCTACGAACTAAAAAGGTGTGAAGTTAGTGCGAAGTTAGTTATGCCCAACGTACAGGATTCCTCTCATCCAAATTGCCGGATTGCTCATTGTCAGTCTGGTAGTCTAGCTTTGTACTTGGGTTGGTTGATCAACTTGGAGATAATTCGTGTTGAGATTGTAGAAATTGTATCTTTCTAGTTCATTCATGATCGTTGATTAATGTACGTATAAATGTGGCTACGAAAACCGTGTGGTTGTTATCTCATTTTCCAGCTGCAGTCCCCAACTGCACGCACACACACATATACAGAGAGACAGAGAGAGAGAGAGAGAGAGAGAGAGAGAGAGAGAGAGAGAGAGAGAGAAAGAGGGAGTTGCCTTGTGCTCGCGTCATTTTCCAGGTGCAGTCACCAACTCTGGG